TGTTGGTGTACAATTCTCTGTCCCTAAAGAGCCCCAAAGTAAGCTGCAGTATTCTTTCCTTTTTCTGAATAGGCTCAGAATTTGATAAATAAATGCAGTATGGCAGAAGGCACAGGGCTTTTAGAGAAGTTTGATGCTGGCATGGGCAGCAGAGAGAATGACTAACTGTAGAAACCTATGACTTTAGAGATGGAGCTGGCCATCGTTCTAGAGGTGTGGTTTAATTATTGGCTGCCTTTTGAATGGGAGCTGAAATTAAGGAATAATAGAAAGTATTGACGCTAAGTCTTATTCACTTGGTAGCTAAAGGCCTTAAAATGAAATGTGTCAGAAACACTCTTGTATACTCGGTTTCAATAGAGTAAGTTTCTGTATAATCCCTAACTGCCACAGTCTCATACATACCTGTTTGGGTCAGGTTTTAGGATAGTAAACATTTAAATCCTATTTAATTTCTATATATAATGTAAAAGGAGGGGTTTTGTCCTCAAATATCCCTTCTAGCAGAGTGGGATCCAGATCTGAAGGAGAATATTGCAAGTTGGAGTACCTGGGGGCCGATATTTTAGACTACTTAAGTCTATGAGTTCCCCTTTGGAAAAAGGAGGTGGAAGATTAGATTCTGGTCTGTGAATTAGGGAAATATCCCAATTATGGCATCGGGGAATGGGGGGAGGCATATTTGTTTTTGGCAAGTTAGACCTTCCTTGGGAAGACACAGTGGACAGCTCTTTGAGGGGGTCATTGACCCTGAAAGAGCCTCACTCAGCTGTTTGATTAAGCAGCAAAGAGATTTCAAATGAAACTATTATTAGAGTAAGGTAATGCTATTTATTTGGGTTTCTTTTTCATAAAAATGTGTAGATTCAAATAGAACTTACCAACTTCAGGAGCGCCTGGGTGGCTCAGTCGGTTAGGCGACCGACTTCAGCTCAGGTCATGATCTCATGGTCTGTGGGTTCGAGCCCAGCATCAGGCCCTGTGCTGACCACTCAGAGCCTGGAGCCTGCTTTAGATTCTGTGTCTCCCTCTCTCTCTTCTCCTCCCCCCCTTTGTGTTCTATCAGAAATAAATAAACGTTAGAACTCATCAACTTCAAATTAAAATATTAAACACTGCAATTGAGTTGCTATTTAAGAGAATTCTTTCTGGTTCCTTCCTGCAGAAACAAAGGATCATCCTTTCTGGAAAAAGAGCCTCTATGTTTTCATGAGAGAAAAGAAACCAAGTCCCAAAGAGGTCAACTCTGAAGGGCACTTTTCTTCCATGGCCCTCAGCCAAGAAGTAAAAAGGGATGAGGACCAGGATGCGGTGAGTGCTGGGATGGTCCTGTTTTGCCATTCACAAGGTAGCAATTGCTGATGCCAAAGTCTGAGTAGCTGGGAGCTTCTCTGTATGACAGGCCTTCAGGAGGAGAGGAGGCAGGGGACTGTACCCCTTTACTCCCAAACAAGGCAAGGGAGACAGTAGAAGAAACTGAGAAGCATTCAGAGGGAATGGAGAGAATTTCTCTGAGAGTTTCACAATGGATATGCCCTCTGGTGGGTGGGCTATCAGATTTTCCTACTTTCTTGTGAATTTTTGCACTTCTTCTGTCTCCCCACCATCTCTAGTATCTCTACTATTTACCACTTATCACACCCAAGCAGGCCCTAAATTTTGTTTCCCTTAACTCAACCAAAACAGGCAGAAAATTATCAAAAGAACCATGTACTAAATTCAATGTGGTAAAATTTAAAGGAGTAAAGTAAAAGCCCCCAAATGTAAAATGTATACAAATGTAGGTGTTCACAGAACACAGATTTCTCATCCTAAGGTGACTACAGTTAAACTTGGTGACCATGTGACTGGTCTAGCGTAGTCTACTGCTTCTAGGTCTAGGTCTACTTGCCACTTTTCTCCTTCAGTTTTCTTCTCTACCCTATGTACAAGGCTCTGGAGTAGAGCCTGTTTTAGGAGTGGATTTGGAGAAGTCACAGCCCACCCTCCTCATCTCCTGGTTAGAAATCAATATGGGAATGGTGTGTTAGTCTGAATATACAGTCTTTCCATCTTCTTCTCTGTCTCTCCAGTTCCTTACTCCCACCCCCAGAAGATAAGGGAGCTACTTTTATTTTTACTCACTCATAGAAGTTTTAGTAAAACTTTATTTTGTAGTTTAACTCCTTTTACTGTCATGTTTTAGTATCCTCCCCTGTGCTTGCTTGCTTGCTTCCTCAACATATAACAGGCACCTACTCTGAGCCGGGCAATCTTTGAGGGGCATAGTGGTAAACAAGAGATAAATCTCTGATCCTTAGGAACTTACATTTGATGGGGGAGCCAGACAATAAACCAATAAGTGTGTAATATGTGAGCTGGTAATAAGTGCAATGGGGAAAATAAAACAGGTAAAGCAGGGCAGGAGAACTACATCAACAGAACAGGCTTAAATAGACAGTGAGGAAAAAAAGTAAGTTGCTTTATACTGATACCTTATGAACCCTCCTTATATATTGTAGTGGTTATAAGTATCTTGAATTTAACCAGCCCCCAGAAGGATTATTCTTTACTTTTGTATTTGCTCCCCTCTTGCTGCCAAACTCGCTTTGCCTCCAGATTTCCCCTTGATTATAATCCAACCAGGATGCCTCAGGACAAAAATCCAAGTGTTGTCTTTGATTTCTTGCTTTACTCACTTCCCACGTCTAACAGGTACTGAGTTCTGTCAGTTTATTCACTTTTCAGTTCCTCACTACTACCACCAGCTCAAGCCATTGTGATCTTAACTGGCTTAGTGCACTGGCCTCCTAACTGATTTTCCTGCTTCTGCTGTTGCCCCTGTATAACCAGTTCTCCATGAAGAAGCTATATTCATTTAAAAAATGTTAGATCAGATTTCTTCCCTACTGTAAACCTTTGAATGACTTTCCCTTCACGCTTTGGATTTTATTCTAATTCCTTAGCATGGTCTCTAAGTCCCTGTACCATTAGGCACCTGCCTTCTCTCCACAGTCATTATGCTCCAGCCTCACCAACTTTGTTTTTGTTTTCTTAATATACCAACTTCATTCCCATCTCAGGTTTTTGCTTCTGCTAGTCCTTCCACCTGGAACACTCTTTCCCTAGATCTCTCCATGTCTCCCTCAGTTCACTCAGACCTCTGCACAAATACCTTCTCAGAGAAGACTTCTCTGACTTCTCTACCTAAAATAGTCCCCCTCATCCATTCGCCTATCCTCCCTACACCCTTTACCTGTAAAGAGGTGGGATCCAGGACTCAAATGGAGGGCAGGACAAGCCATCCATTTTAAGAGGAAGGAAGGCAGAGTACATGGATATAGTGTGGTGAATTTTGTGCAAGAACATCATCCACTTCTGTTTACCTCATTTTCTCAGTGAAGTGAGAAGGTCATCTGTCAGCTGATAGTGAAAGTGGAGGATCAAGGTTCAGAGGTTTGAAAAAAGGGAAGAAAGGAAGGTAGTATTTTCTAAATCATAATAATCCCAGTATAACTTAGTACCCCAGATATCCTGACATATAAAAGCAGGACCACGGGGGAGGTCCCTCAACTCCTAGCACACGTCAGCAATCTACCCCACCTATAATAGGGTTGGCTGTGTCCTGGAATCTCTGCAAGTTTCTGAATCCAGATAGAGTGAGGAGAGGCTGAGGCAGGTTTGGATGGGGCCCTGGCCTGCGAGATGAATCACTTGGCTCTGGCCGCACTAGGCTTCAGAGGGTTCAGCTGAGCCGAGGAACTCTTTCTGCTCTTGTTGGCCTCTCATTCCTATATCACACGTATCTCTTCTTTTCTGTCACCTTCCAAAGGTTTTAGCAACAAAGGAGCACACACCTTGATCCTTGATTGGTAAGAAGACACAAAAGAAGGCTGCTTCAGAGAAGCCATTTGCCAGCAGGATTCATTCATGTTGAGGACCAAGGAAGGCACTCAAGCACCTGCAATAAACTCCACTTAAATTCAGTGTCTGTATGATAATTAAGAAATCACAATACCTTGTATTGATAATTATTACAAATGTATGTTCCCCAGAAGTTAAATATTGCCTGAAAGATCCAATAAAAATAATGACAGCTGGGGCACCTGGGTGGCTCAGTTGGCTAAGCCTCCGACTCCTGATTTCTGCTCAGGTCATGATCTCATGGTTAGTGTGTTCGAGCCCCATGTGGGACTGTGTGCTGATGGCGTGGAACCTGCTTGGGATTCTTTTTCTCTCTGTCTCTCTCTCTCCCCCACTCACCCCTCCCCTACTGGTGTTCTCTCTCACGAAATAAATCGTTAAAAAAAAAAAAAATGATAGCTACTTTACTGAATGCCTGTCAATTCACTTGATCTTTCCCTAAATCAAGGTAGGTGTGTCCCCTTTGGTCAGGCACCCTTAAAATCTGTTGCCACATATTCTCCCCAGGTTTTTCTAACAGTTTTTAGAATATTAAAAAAATTTATTTTGAGTATGATTACACACTTGCTGATTCTGATTCTGCATAGCACCCTCTGGCTCATGTTGAGGCTGACCCCTGGTCTTGGGAAGACACAGTAAGACCTAGAACACAGGAGAGAAGAATTTTGTTTTCCTTAGGCAAAGGGAACACTAAAAATCATTCCTCTCCTAATTGTAGCCCTAGATCATGCAGATAAACTGTATGTTCTTTGTAGTATCAATTTAGAAGACGTCTATTCATTTGAAACCAGTCAAAACGTAGGGTGGTGTTGGTTGGGCAGTTGAAGGCCCCAGGTGTGTGGACATGGCATCTCCTGGGGACCCTCCTCCTCCCTGACCTGCCCTCATCCTTGGCGTCCCCTGCGGGAACAAGAAAAGGGTAGGGCCTGTTGAGGGAAGTGGAGCTTCGAGTTTCCACCCAGTGCTTTGTTTTTATTTATTTATTTATTATTTATTCTTTTTTTCCCCCCAGTGCTTTGTTTTTAAAAGGACGCCCCCTTTTCCGTCTTGCAATACTCCGTCTGGTGGTGGGTTAGCTGGCTGGGGAGGGGCTTGGGGGTTCTGGAGTCGCTGTCCTGCATCTTGGGGAGCCCACGCTGTCCACCGAGCCCCAGGCTGGGTGGGTGACCCCACAGCAATATGTGGGGGAAGCGTAATTACCCCTTTTGAAACTGAGTCTTGGGGGGGGGGGGTGCCAGGATTTTGTTTTTGTTTGTTTTACTTAGGGACTTTACCACGTGGCAGAGCCAGGATTCAAACTGCTTTCTGCCTTACCAAGTCTCTTCAATTTACTCTCTCCCCTCAGGGATCCTATTATCTATGGCTTCCAAGAAAGTGTCTACCTGTGGTGAACATTTCAGGCCAGAAAAATTAAAAGAATGGCCAGAGCTCGAGTCAGTTGCTTTAATGGAGGTAAAGTAACGTGGCATTTGGGGACATTATTTTGGCGATGGGACATAAATCCCTTGAGAAGTATTTTGTCTTAGTCACGGTTGGATTCCCTAGAACTAGAACAATGCCTGGCAGAAGCAAGGCACTGTTAAGAATTCACTGAATGGGAATGATCCGGGACCAAATTTGATCAAGAGTGGTTCGAGTGCCCCTGCTGTCGCTCACTAGAGGTTCAGGACACCCACAGGGCGGTACGGTGGGTGGGTACAGGCTGCAGTCCCAGAGCTCTGCCGGCGGAGAAGCCAGGTCTGGGCTCGCCAGTTGATTCTGCTACTTAAGGGTCTGGTAAAGCAATGATTTCCTCATAAAGGAAGTGTCATTATTTTACATGATCCTATAATTTGCCTCACTGTAAAGAGAAGCTCTTGGAGTAGTCCTTTATTTTGCTCCTTTTGCAGCGGTAGCAGTAAAAGTGGTGAGACCTTTAAACATTTGTGTCTGTGTGCGTGCGTGGGCATGAAAAGCTGTGGGTTTCAAAAGTGCTGCCAAAAGTCATTAACATCTTCCTTATGTTTTCTGGCAAAATCACAAAGCTCGGAGCTATGGAAGTCAAAAATGTTTATTTCCTTAAACAAACAAAAAGTAGTTTGAAAATCAGACTCATGGGGCGCCTGGGTGGCGCAGTCGGTTAAGCGACCGACTTCAGCCAGGTCACGATCTCGCGGTCCGTGAGTTCGAGCCCCGCGTCGGGCTCTGGGCTGGTGGCTCGGAGCCTGGAGCCTGTTTCCGATTCTGTGTCTCCCTCTCTCTCTGCCCCTCCCCCGTTCATGCTCTGTCTCTCTCTGTCCCAAAAATAAATAAAAACATTGAAAAAAATTAAAAAAAAAAATCAGACTCATGATCAATATTATAATATATGCTGAGAATAGAATGGGTAAAAAAAAAAATGTGATTTTCCACGATGTTTGTCAAAGTAGATGTTTCTACTTCTCCAAATAAATAGATTGATTTGTTCTAAGTCTATAGTATCAGGGGAAAACACTTAATTGTTTTACATGGTTTTTCAATTGCCATCTTAAAATGAGCCTAAGAAGGAGTCAAAGCAAAATTCTGCTTACATCAACAAGATAGTTTTATTTTGAAGACCTGAAGAGCTGTCTGAATATTATTTTAGATTTCATGTGTTGCTGTTAAATATATGGGTAACAATGCAACTCTCCTTTTTGAGATTTCTTTTATTCACAGATTTGTTATCTGAGTTTGCGGTCTAGTTTGTTTTGATGCATTCACTTGAAAGAACTGAAAGAAGAGCCAGAGATTGAAAAACATAGTTTTAAGAACCTGTATTATTTTACACTAGTTCTAGGTAATAGCATATCTCTTCCAGATACTGGATTTTTATTGTCTTTCCATTTGTTCCTTCTTAGTCCTATAAGCATAAAAGTTGGACGATCAGTTCATAGTGATCCAGATGAAAAGCCCTAAGGTGATAAATATTGAGCTTGGGTTCATAGAAAATCGTGTTTGAAAATTTCTCTTAATAACACAAGAAACAACAGCTGTTGGCGAGGATGCAGACAAAGGGGAACCCTTTGGCACTGATGGCGGGAATGCAAACTGGTTCAGCCACTCTGGAGAGCAGTGCGGAGATTGCTCAAGAAACTAAAAATAGAACATCACCCACCATCCACCAATTGCACTATTAGGTATTTACTGAAAGGATACAAAAATACAGATTTGAAGGATACATGCACCCCGATGTTTATAGCAGCATTGGGCAACTATAGCCAAACTATGGAGAGAGTCCAAATGCCCATTGACTGATGAATGGATAAAGAAGATGTGGTATATATACACACTGGAATATTACTCAGCTATCAAAAAGAACGAAATCTTGCCATTTGCAATAACATGGATGGAGCTAGAGTGTATTATGCTAAGCAGAATAACTCAATCAGAGAAAGACAAATGCCATATGATCGCACTAATATGTGGAATTTAAGAAACCAAAACAGATGAACATATGGGGAGGGGGAGAGAAGAGAGGGAAATAAACCACAAGAGACTTTGAGTGATAGAGAACAAACTGGGCTGATGGAGGGAGGTGGGTGGGAGACGGGCTAGATGGGTAATGCGTACTAAGGAGTGCACTTGTGATGAGCACTGGGTATTATATGTAAGAGATGAATCCCTGAATTCTACTCATGAAACCAATATTACACTGAATGCAAATTAACTAAAATTTAAATTAAAAATTTCCTTAATAAAAATGTTACAAAATATTCTTTGAGGTATAAGCAGAAGATTTACAGTAAAAGTATTGGTAAAATACAATGAATTTTGTCATTCTGTTTTATTTCTTTAGGATTTACATCCTGACATTCAGTTCTGTAATTTTAGGTGTTAGCTAGAGAAGACATTGATGAAGCTGTACATGCAATATTATTTAGAGAAAATTACATTGCCAAGGTAAGAGTTGGCTACAGCCTGGATTCTAAGTATGTTCCAGGTAAGCAAGAGTGGTGCAGAGCAACACGGCTAAGAGGATGTCACTGTGTCACAGAGATTCATTTTGCTGAGAGAATGAACCTCCTCTGGTTGATCTGTTTATACAACATAGATCTGAAATTGTGCCACCTCCTTGCAGGGTCACTGAGAGGTCTGGATTCCTAGATCTGCCCGTAAAGGATCTGAGAGATCGTTCTAAGAGCTCCCCCTCTTTGTTCTGGTACTGAATAGAAATTCTTTCTGACTAAAACTTACCTCTTTCTCATATGTTCCCACATCGAAAAGGGGATATATAAAACCACCAGAAATAGTATTTAAGGGTAATGTCCAATTGTACTCAGAGTTACTATGAAATTAATAAAGTTAAAGGAGTTTTCATTTTAATGAGATTGAAATTTGGTGTTAAAGTGGTACTTTAATGTTTGTGTTCTAATTTACAAAGGAAGTTCATGTATATTTTCAGCTAAGCATCAAAAAGAGGTAGGTGGGGGGCACCTGAGTGGCTCAGTGGGTTAAGCATGTGACTCTTGGTTTCGACTCAGGTCATGATCCGGTCATATTTGAGCCTGGCAGTGTGGAGCCTGCTTGGGATTCTCTGTCTCTTCTCTCTCTGCCCCCCCGCCCCCGACTTGCTCTATCTCTGTCTCTCTCAAAAAAATAAACTTAAAAAAGAGCGGGGGACACCTGGGTGGCTCAGTTGGTTGAGCGCCGACTTGGGTTTAGGCCATAATCTCATGGTGAGTTCGAGCCTTGTGTCAGGCTCTGTGCTGACAGTGCAGAGGCTGGAGCCTGCTTTTGATCCTGTGTCTCCCTCTCTCCCTGCCCCTCCCCCTGCTCGTGCTCTGTCTCTCTCTCTCTCAATAATAAACATTAAAAAAAAAGGTAGGTGGGATTTCCCTCCTATAGATTCAGACAGAGGTGCTGGTGTAAGTCTAGCGCTCTTTCTACTCTACCAGTTTTGTCACAGACTTTGATGATGAAGGCTAGAGACATGCAGTGGGTGACAGGAATGCTTTGAAATCCTTAAAAATAAAAAAAGGAGTTTCATGAGTTAGAAGTGGTTTGAATGTGGTTTAATCTCCAGGCACACTTCTGCTTTAGAACCTTTCATGGGTTCTTCCTGCTCTGTGCTCTCAGGTTCCCCTGAGAGCTTTATTATGTTCTTTGATTATCTTATGCTAGGACCTTGCAACCCAAATGTGTTGAGAGTTTAAAAGTGGGAACAAGTGTTTCTCCCCCTTATTCAAATGACAATAAATGGAAACCTTAATAATTTGTTTTCCTTGTTTGTATCATTTCATTAAAGACTGGATATGTATTTTCAGCATCTGGATATTTTTAAGGAAAGACGAGGAGAGGTGTTACATAAAAAATGGATTGAAAATGTTGCAGAGCCTGTTCAGAGAATTGCAGAAAAAGTAATTTCATACGGAGGGTTGGAGAAAATGAAACAAGAGAATCTTGAATGTCTTTTAAAGCGCACAAATAAAATGGTACTGAGAGTTCTTTGTTTTCTTAATAAAGTATACTTTAAAGAGTTGGGCCAACATTTTCACTGGTTATTATGCAAGCAGTCCTGACACTATTTTTGTATTTAAGATGAATTCACTGAATTGTAATACAGCTTACTACATTTTTAAACTTGGAGTTTCAGAAGGAAGGAATAAAAGTATTGATTTGGAACTAGATTTATCAGGAATGCTTTTAAGTAAATGTAAAAGAGAATAGCAGTAGCTTAAATCATAAGGACACTTACTGTTCACTTAACAAGAAATTGATGGGTAGGTGGTCTCACTGTGGGTTTTGGCAGTGTAGAAATGTCATTTATCACCCAGGTTTTTTCCTATAATTCTTTTCTGCTATCCTTAATATTTTTGTTTTTTCCTCATCACTCTTATATTTGTAAGCACATTTGGTTACTTACAGCTTCAGGTGTTAGGTCTGTGCTCAAGACAGGAAGAAGGGGTAAGGAGTGGTGCCAGGGTACCTTTATCTTATACCTGATCCTTTGATCTGGAAGCAAAGAGTCCCCAGAAGCTCCTAGCAGATTTCCCCTTAGATCCTCTTCGCCAAAAATGGGCCACATTGCAAGTCCTAGCTAGAAGCAGGGCCAGGAAAGAGAGCATAAGGCATTCTAATCTTTCCAGTAGGAAGAGAGCAAGGGAGAAGGGGATTCCATGCTATTCAGTCAGTCAAACATTAGGTGTAGGGACCATAGCTTTCTACATACTGTTCCTCAATTTGGCTTTATAAAAGAATAAAATTTTGCTGCTGCTTTTGGAAATTTTTCTGTTTTAACCTTGAGGTCAGGACCCTCTTTTGGAATTTAGGTCTGCCTAAGTTCCCAGGTACTTACTGGAGATCTAGCATAGTTTGCCTGGAAAGTTAGAGTATTGATTTGGTGAGCAAAATTTCTGGATATGAACATTAAATACTTCTTTCTAAGCACTCTAAGAGGCAGAGCTCAGTGTCAAATCCAGGTGTCTTTGAAACCAAAGTGCACAGGCTTACAGTTGTGCTCAGAAATGTGATTGTACAAGTACAGGATGGGGAAGCCATGCCTTAGAAAAGGCATGTGTTGAAGTCTGAGTGGTTAAAAAAAATTTTTTTTTAATGTTTATTTTGAGAGAGAGAGAGAGAGAGAGAGAGAGAGAGAGAGAGAGAGAAAGAAAGAGAGAGTGCAAGCAGGGGAAGGGCAGAAGGAGGGAGATAGAGAATCTGGAACAGGCTCCAGGCCCTAGCTGTCAGCACAGAGCCCAACGCGGGACTCAAACTCACAAACTGTGAGATCATGACCTGAACCAAGGTCAGATGCTTAACCAACTGAGACACCCAGGCACCCCTGGAGTGGTTTTAAATGACAGTAAATTCAATGTGAGTTGACTATGGGAGCGGACTTCTAAGAAAACATCTGGGATCTTAGGCTGTATTGAGGGAGGCAGTGCTTGGAGTGGGAAGCATCAAAGTCCACCGTGTTGCTATCTTGTCACTCCTGATTCACACTGTAGAGGGGATCTTCAGCAGTTGCAGAACCTTTAGAAGAGGGTGGAAGCTTGACAACATCTCCTGGGAGGAAAAGTGGGAAGAAATATGGGTTATTTAGTCAGAGGAAGAAATGACAGGAAGGGGGATGAAAACGAAACATTTAAAAGACAGATGGGTGGGGGGCGCCTGGGTGGCGCAGTCAGTTAAGCGTCTGACTTCAGCCAGGTCACGATCTCGCGGTCCGTGAGTTCAAGCCCCGCGTCGGGCTCTGGGCTGATGGCTCAGAGCCTGGAGCCTGTTTCCGATTCTGTGTCTCCCTCTCTCTCTGCCCCTCGCCCGTTCATGCTCTGTCTCTCTCTGTCCCAAAAATAAATAAACGTTGAAAAAAAAATTAAAAAAAAAAAAAAAGACAGATGGGTGGGTGATGGGTAGATAAATTTTGTGTTGTTTTGAGGTAGAGTATTAGTGTCTCCAGTGCCAAGGCAGATTTCAACTCAGTCTAAGGACAGACTGGTGGTTAGAATGACCAAAAGAGTACTTGGCTGGCAGAGCAGAAAGTTCTCAGACTAAGGCTAGTTGATGACTTCAGACTAAACTTGATGATTACTACCCCCAGAAGGTGGCGAGCTGTCTCTGCAGTCTAAATTACTTCTGAGGTTTCTTCTAACCCTTTGAATCTATGATTTTCTACAAAAACAGAATAAAGCGTTTGGCTTTTTTGAATCTTGCAAAACACATTGTATACAGTGACTTGCTCTTAGGTGTATTTTTTTTTCCTAAAGGAAATTGTATTTGGAAATCTTTATGATCCTGAAGTATACAACCCTTTTTATATGACAAAAAAGGACCCAAATTATGGAAAGGTAAGTAAGTTTCATTCATTCATTCATTCATTCATTCACCCTTAGAAGCTCTGGGGTTGGGGAAAACCTAGTCATTTTAGAAGTCTTCTAGTTATCCTGTATTCATTAAAGAAAGTCCATAAAAGCATTTCCTCTGAGTTTTAGATTAGGAGCCCAAAATAATTTCACCTACTGGGAAAATTACATGTTTGTGTGATAATGTTTCTGCTCATTCATTCTTCCATTCACATTTAGCAAACTGGAAAGGAAGACATGGGCAGCAAGACATGGGTGTGACAAGTGTCACAGAATTAGTACAGGGAGCAATGGCCTGAGAGGCAGAGCTCCTTTCTGTGAAAGGTGGAAGGAGGGATGCAGAAAAGGCTGCCCAGAGAACTAGTAGTTGGGCCTGTAACGAGTGTTCACGTTTTAAACTTGCCAATAGAGGAGTTAAAATTTTGAGATGTAGATTCAGGTTTTTTACTCCTGTGTAGGAAAAGTACCCACCAGGTAGCATAAGTTATTTAAAAGTATGTGTGTGGCTCTGAAGAAAGAAGTGGTTGGTTTTGCTTCTCTCGGAAAACCAAGGCAGATGACTGTTATGAAGATAAGAAGGTTCCTTTGGCTCTGAGAGACTCGCTAATATGGTGTAGGTTCATCATTTTGCTGCCTTGCTTATCTAGTAATTGTTTACCTCATACATACTTTGGGGACCAGCATCGGGCCAGGTGTATGGGGGAAAATAAAGAAGGGGAATATGGTTTCTAGTGTAAAGTGTAAAGTTAGGAATGGGGAGGAGAAAACCACCTCTCTCCACAACCTCTGTACCCCAGCCTCTCGACACTCACCCACACTGAGGTTTACCTGCCCTCCTGTTTTCACAGACCCTTAAAGACTGGTTGTCAGCTCTCCCAGGAGCACTCTTACTCCCAGGCCACTCACTGCCTTGTGCTCCTAAAGCATCCTCTTCTGATACCTCTCATGACTAGATTGTCACTGTATATGATTTTCTGTTCTAGACAGGTTCTTGAGGATAGGAACTCACTGGGAGGTGGCACCCAGTAGCGTCAGCACATATTTATTGACTGGTGCACTGATGCAGTAGAAGTCTTGATGGAGTGTGCTACTTCTATCGGGAGGCCCTCCTTCCAGTCAGCCACTTATGACTCAATGAAATGTCCTAATGTGAGACAGATAACCTTTACACTTTCCCTGCTCTATGGGTTGACATTATTCACGGGTCGACATTATTCATGGGTCATTAATCTTTGGTGTACAGTAAGGCCATACTCGAATGCTTCAGACAGACTTAGAGAGCTTAATACAAAGCACTTGGATCCTCGAAATTATTTTTCTTGTAGGTTATGTTGCCTTTGTTTTGTGATTCCCTGTTTAGAAGATGGCAAGAGATGGATGAAGAGAAGAGAGCTGTTTTTCAAAATAAGACAGGTATTTTGTGATCATTGGGCTTTATTTTTAGAGACTTATAATTGTCCGGTGATTTCCTACCAGAAGAGTGACTAAGTTGACATTAAGACTGTTGATTTAGATTTTTTTTTTAATCTTCCTATAGGAAAACGATACACCTTAAAAGAATGTAAAGACCTAGAGAAGGCCAGGCTTTATGCCACATTGCCCCATTTCACTTTTACTCTACATGATGTTATTCTAAGAGTGGCATAAAGCCTCTGCGAGATCTGTGAGAAACAAAACACCTAGTAAATGCAGGTAAGGGTGCACTAACTAATGAATGGATCCTTTTACCATCTCCATTGTTTTGCCTTTTACAGAATGTCATGTGGTTAGAATCGCACAGTATAGCTATAGCCTTTTCCAGATTTTACCTTTATCCTTAAAGGATGTTTTCACAGGATTAAGAATATTAGGTTGGCAATTCTTTTTCTTTTTTTTTTTAAGTATTTATTTATTTTGAGAGAGAGGTAGAGAATGAGCAAGGTAGGGGCAGAGAGAGAGAGAGGGGAGACAGAAGATCCGAAGCAGGATCTCTGCTGACAGCAGAGAGCCTGATGTGGGGCTTGAACTCATGAACCATGAGATCATGACCTGAGCTGAAATGGGACGCTTAACTGATTGAGCCACCCAGGCACCCCAGCAATTATTTTTCTTTAACACATATCCCACTGTATTTAAAAAAAAAAATGTTTATTTATTTTGGAGAGAGAGAGAGCGCAAGCAGGGGAGGGGCAGAGAGAGATGGAGACACAGAGTCCGAAGCAAGCTCCAGGCTCTGAACTGTCAGCACAGAGCCCAGTGGGTTCATGGGGCTCGAACCCACGAACTGTGAGATTATGACCTGAGCCAAAGTCTGACACTTAACCCACTGAGCCACCCAGGCACCCTTGTATTTTTTTATTCTACCCAGAAGATAGTTTTATTTTATTTTAAATTTATTTATTTATTTTGAGAGAGATAGAAAATGGGCAGAGGGGCAGAAAGAGAGAGAAGAGAGAGAATCTCAAGCAGGCTCTGCACTGTCAGCTCAGAGCCTAATGCGGGGCTGGATCTCATGAACCGAGAGATCATGACAGGAGCCCAAATCAAGAGTTAGATGCTTAACTGACAGAGCCACCCAGGTGCCCCTCCCCAAAAGATAGTTTTGATCAGCGTACAGGAGCTTGATAAAAAAATCCATCCACACCTGTAGGATAACAGCCCACTTTTAAAAACTGGTCCCAGTACACTGACCAAATTTCCCAGTGAGTATTACTAATAGCAAATTTATTTATTTTTCTTTTTCCTCTCATAACTACTTTAAAGATTTTTTTCCCACAGACTTTTTATTTTATTTTTTAATAACTATTTTAATCACCCAGTGCTCATCACAACAAGTGCACTTCTTAATCCTCATTACCTATTTAACCCATCCCCTAACCCACCTACCCTCTGGTAACCATCAGTTCTCTATAGTTAAGAGTTTGGGGGTGCCTGGGTGTTCAGTCATTTGAGAGTCCAGTTCTTGATTTTGGCTCAGTTTCTTAATTTTGTCCAGTTCTTGATTTCATGATCCTAGGGTTGTGGGATTGAGCCCCTTGTTGAACTCCACGCTGAGCATGGATCCTGCTTAAGATTCTCTCTCCCCAAGAAGAGGTGGTATGTATGTATGTATGTATGTATGTATGTATATGTATGTATGTGTGTATATATACATACGTACATACACACACACATACATACATACATACAATGGAGTATTACTCGGCAATCAAAAAGAATGAAATCTTGCCATTTGCAACTACGTGGATGGAACTGGAGGGTATTATGCTAAGCGAAATTAGTCAGAGAAAGACAAAAATCATATGACTTCACTCATATGAGGACCCTAAGACACAGGACAGATGAACATAAGGGAAGGGAAGCAAAAATAATATAAAAACAGGGAGGGAGGACAACACATAAGAGACTCTTAAACTGGAGAACAAACAGAGGGTTACTGGAGGGGTTGTGGGAGGGGGGATGGGCTAAATGGGTAAAGGGCACTAAGGAATCTACTCCTGAAATCATTGTTGCACTATATGGTAACTAATTTGGATGTAAATTAAAAAAAACAAAAACGTAGATCTTTAAAATATTTTCTTTATTTTCTGGCAAATGTCAAGTTTCATTTAGCAAATCTTAAGAATAGTGTATAAAATATGTATTATAGCACAAACAAATGATGAATAAAAATGCAAAAAAAGAAAAAAAAGATTCTCTCTCCCTGTGCCCCTCTTCCCTGCTTGTGCTCTCTCTAAAAAAAAAAAAAAAAGAAAAAAGAAAAGAAAAAGTTTCCTGATTAAAAAAAAAGAGTATTTCTTGGTTTGTCTCTCTCTCTGTTTTCCCCCATTGCTCATTTATTTTGTTCCTTAAATTTCACACGAGTGAAATCATATGGTATTTGTCTTTCTCTGACTTATTTCACTTAGCATTATATTCTCTAGGTCCATCTATGTTGTTGTGAATGGCAAGATTTCATTCTATTTTATGGTTGAACGATTCCATTGTACGTATGTATATATACACCACATTTTCTTAATTCATCTACCAGTGGACACTTGGGCTGCTTCCATATCTTGGCTATTGTAATTAATGCTGCTATAAATACAGGCATGCACATATCCCTTTGAATTAGTGTTTTTGTATTCTTTGGGTAAATACCCAGTAGTGCAATTGCTGGATCATAGGGTGGTTCTCTTTTTAACTTTTTGGGGACCCTCCATCCTGTTTTCCACAGTGGTGCACCAGTTCGCATTTCCATCAACCATGTAAGAGGGTTCTCCTTTCCCCACATCCCTACTAATACCTGTTGTTCCTTGTGTTGTTGATTTCAGCCATTATGACAGGTCTGAGGTGATATCTCATTGTAGTTTTGATTTGCATTTCCCTGATGATAAATGATGAACATTTTCACATATCTGTTGGAAATCTGTATATCAGGAATAAACTCCACTTGATTGCAGTGAATAATTTTTTTTTCAATGAATTGTTGAATTTGGTTTGTTAATATTTTGCTGAGGATTTTGTATCTACATTCTTGTGTGGGTGGGTGGGTGGTGTCTTTATCTTGTTTTGATATCAGGGTAATGGTGGTCTCATAGAACGAATATGTAAGTTTTCTTTCCTTATCTATTTTTGGAATAGTTTGTCTCCTCCCCATATTTTAGGTATATGGTGTCATATTTGACATCCTTTTATTTTGTGAACTCCTTGACTGAGTTTTACAGAAATATTCATGTTTACTGGTTTTATGTTTCCTGCCTTCATACTGTCACTTTTGGTCTTTCCACTCAGAGTCCCCTTTAATATTTCTTGCTGGGCTGGTTCAGTGGCCATGAACTCCTTTAGTTTTTGTTTGTCTGGGAAACTCTTTACCTGTCCTAGTCTTGCTAGATAGAATATTCTTGGCTACAGGTTTTTCCCATTCAGCACTTTAAATATATCATGCCACTCCTTTATGGTTTGGAAAGTTTCTGCTGAAAAATCCACTGATAGCCTTATGGGGTTTCCTTTGTATGTAACTATCTTTTTTGGATTACTGCATTTAATTTTTTTTATTACTATATTTTGCCACCTTAATTACAATGTCTTGGATATGTTTTGTTGATTTTGTCAGGGGGTTTCTCTGTGCCTCCTGGATTAGATGTTTCCTTCCCCAGATTAAGTAAATTTTCAGCTATTATTTCTTCAAATAAATTTTATGCCTCCATTTCTCTCTCTCTTCTTCTTGTGGGACTCCTATTATATGAGTGTTATTACATTTGATTGAATCACTGAGTTCTCTAAGTCTATTCTCATTTTGCATAATTCTTTTTTCTCTCTTTTCAACTTGATTCTTTTCATTACTCTGTCTTCCAGGTCATTAATTCATTCTTCTGCTTCTTCCAGCCTGCTGTTCATTCCATTGAGTGTGTGTTTCATTTTGTTTACTGAACCCTTTATTTCTGCTATGTTATTCTTATCTCTGTGTTAATGGTCTGATATCCTCCATTGTTTTCTCTTCCAGTGTGTATCCTTATGACCATTACTTTAAATTATCCATCAGCCATATTACTTATATCTGTTCCATTTAGATCTCTGGCCATGGCCTTGTCCTGTTCTTTCATTTGGGACAAAGTCCTCTGTCTTCTCATTTTGTCTAAGTCTCTGCCTGTTTCTGTGTGTTGGGAAAGTCAGCTATGTCTCTTGTTCTTGAGGTTAATGGTTTTATGAAGAAGAGATCTTATAGTGCCCTGCCATGCAGTGTCTCCTGTGTACTAGGGCCTAGCAGTTCCAGGGGTGTCTCCAGTGTGTGGTGTCTGTGCTCTGCTGTTTTGTTCTGCCTGCTTTATCCTTCAGGCCAGTTGTCTCCATAGTCTCTCTTTGCCTGTTGTGGGCAGTGTTTGGTCTCTGGTCTTAATGTGGTGTGTTTTAACTAGGTGTTCCCTGTCTGCTTGTTAAATGAGCTCTGTCACCACCGCCCCTGGAACTGAGGCTCTGCAAAACTCCCAGGTCAGGAAATGTGGTTTGGGCAGAGATTTGGGCCCATCTTCAGCTGCACTGGGACTGAGGCAAGCATGACTTTAGAAAGGGCAGTTCCACTGAAGCATGGGGTGTGACAAGGGTTGGTGTAAGCAAGTTAGGTAGGGAGTATTTGTGCTGTGCTGGGTCCCACAGGTAGCTCTGTGCTTTTGCTGAAGGGTAGGGGAGAGAAATGGCACCTGCCAATTCCTTGGTTCCTGGAGGAGTCTCTCTGTGAATGCTGCTTCTCTGGGGCACGCCCTGATAGGAGCAACTGATCTCCCCACTGTGTGCCCCAGGTGCTCTTGAGGTTGTTGTTTCCATGCTGTATATCTGCAAGTTGTTTGCCCTGCCTTCTCTCCAAGAGCATTCCTGATGTCCTCTGAGATTTTCCAGAGCCAAGAACCCTGACCCTTAGAACTCCAGGCTTTAAGTCCCACTGGTTGCAAGAACTCATGAAATTTGGCCCCTCCTGCTTTCCAAGCCAATTACTATGGGGATTCATTTTCCCCCTGTGGGCTCCCCTGTTAGTCTGGCTCTCATCCTTTTCCACTACCATGGCTCCCTTCCCATTGGCCATGATCTGTTTCTCTCCCAGACTGTGTCTCTGCATTTCTCACTTTCTTTGATGTGGCTCTTCTCTGCCTTTAGTTGTGGAGTTAGTTCTGCCAGTCTTCAGGTCAATTTTTGGGGTATTTAGGATGATATGATAGTTGTCTAGTTGTATTTGTGAGATGAGGTGAGTTTAGCCTCCTTCTACTCTACTTCCATCTTCCCCTTCCTCCTATCCCGTTGTCTTTTACTCTTTCAGTTGAAAACTCAGCTGCTGGCCTCACTGTTGATCCTTTGAAGAAAATTGTCTTTTTTTCTGGAGGTTTTTAAAATTTTCTTATTGTCTGATTTTCTGTAGTTTTATGAATTTCTTTTTATCTTTCCTACTTGGAATCCATAGGTCATCTTGTATCTGTAAACTGATGTCTTTAATCAGTTCTGGTGATTATTACCTCTGCCATATTCTCTCTCTCCTCTTTCTGGCACTCCAGTTAAATATATATTAGATTTTCTCACTATCTCACTGCATCCTTACTGTCTCTTACCATTTTTTTTGTGTATTTTCCATCTTTTTTGTTACTTTATATTTGATTCTAGATATTTTACTAATTTCTCTTCAGTTATATCTAATACTCTTTTGTTAAACCTATCAATGAATTATTTTTAGTTGTTTTATTTTTATAGTTCTAGCTCTAGCATCTTATTTCTTTTTCAGGTAGGTTTTGGGGAAGGCTGTCTGGAATCAGGGCCTGGAGTATCTCGGTCCTCTACTGGGACCCTATCTCAATGCACTGCTTGACTTGCCTGCCACTAGGAAGGAGTTGAGAACAAGGTTAACTCCCCACCTGCCAAGATCACAACCAGGCCTGGGAGAAAAAAAAATCCACAAAAGAAATGCTGAGACCATGGAGAAGTGTGTGTACCCTGCTACCTGAGGTTGGCAAATTCCCCCAGTGGAGAAAATAGCCAGAGATTGCCAGCTCATTCTGAAAGAGCTGTCTCCTCTCTGAAAATTTCCAATGACTTTAAAATTACAAAAAAATTTTTTTCCTAGGGTGGGGCAGTAAATATTCTGTTTTTCTAGTTGTTGCAGCAAGATTGTTGGCCTGTGCAAAGTTCTAAATCCTATATAAAACATGGAAGTCCTGTCATGCTCTCTTGACATTTCCCCTTTTCAAAAAAATTGTTATTTATTTATGAGAGAGAGAGTGAGTGAGCAGGGGAGGGGCAGAGAGACATGGACACAGAATCTGAAACAGGCTCCAGACTCTGAGCTGTCAGCACAGAGCCTGACACAGGGCTTGAACCCATGAACTGTGAGATCATGACCTGAGCTGAAGTCAGATGTTTAACCGTCTGAGCCACCCAGGCACTCCAACATTTCCTTTTTATCTTTCATCCAGAGTTTTACTGGAGTGAACAGTGCTACTTACTGTTTCCCCTTCTGATTTGGAAGTTTTATGTTTTATTTCTTGGCTTGTTTATACATTTTAACAAACAATTTAGACTTCAATAATTATATAACTTCCCATCTTCCAGCAAGACAAAGGCGTTATTTTGCTCTATTTCGTCATCCCCACTTTGTAGCTCCTCAGCTCCTTAAGTGGTATTCTGCCCTTTAATCTGTATCCTCCAGTGAATTCTCCACCTAGCAGCTGGAGGAATGTCTTTGAAGTGATGGAACTTCTCCAGTCAAAAACCCTTCAGTAGCTTCCGATAACCCTTACAATAAAGTCCAGACACTTAACATAGCACATAAGGTGCTATGGGCCTTGCCAGCCTTTCTGGCTTCATCTAAAAATATCCCTTTCCCTTAAGGAAAAGAAGTATAAATAAACTACAAAAATATCTGGGTCAAATCAGCACAGTTATAACTGCCTGACCTGCCATGTTGTTTCATGGCTTTGTTCCATTTTATTACTGGCCATTGTGATCCAGCCAAGAGAGGGAATTATCACATGGTGTGATACCATTACACCCTCCATCTGCTTTTCCCCACCCCAGCAAGCCCCTTGAGGGCAGGGACTGTGTCTTATTTATCCTGGTGTTCCCAGCACTTAGCTGGAATGCAGTAGAGGATGAGTAAATGCTTGTGGAAGGAAGGAAGGAAGGAAGGAAGGCAGGCAAGAATGAATGCAGGAATGAATGGAGGAATGAAGGAGAAAGCTGCTTTCCCTCCACAGGTCTGGGCTTCTCTGGGAGGTGCTGGAAACCCTCTGGGAGGACACACCTGGAAGTGTGTTCACATGGCCTCTCAGTAAAGTAAGAAAAGGACTTAAAGACAAGGTGTCTATGTTAGAGACAGTGTGATTACAAAAAGCAGAATCCTCAAGTTAAAAAAGGAGGGAGGAACCTAGGTGGGTTAGAAATCACTGGTCTGTTACAGAAGCCATGGTCAGTGTCCCAGTTTGTTTGACTCATGTAACAGAATGCCAGAGATTGGGGGGGGGGGCTTATAAACAACAGAAATTTATTTCTCACAGTTGTGGAGGCTGGAAAGTCCAAGATCATGGTAGTGGCAGATTCAGAATCTGGTGGGGACCCACTTTCTTGTTCTTAGATGGCACCTTCTTGTTGTGTTCTCACATGTTGGGAAGGGTGAGGGAGTTTTCTAGGGTCTCTTATAGGGGCACTAGTCTTATTCATGAGGGCTCTGCCTGCATGACCTAATCACCTCCCCTAAACCCCACATCTTAATACCATCACATTGGGGGTTAGGTGTCAACATATGAATTTTGGGGGGACACAAACATTCAGACCATAGCAGTCAGGAGGACAAACAGGCTGCTTACGGGACTAAGAGCCATGTTCTTTCCTCTTTGGGACTATGTGGCTTTCATCAGAGCTTCTTTGTGAACCTACTTCCTTACTTTCTCTGCTTTCTTATGCATGTGCTGGAAAATGGATGCCCCAGGCCTGCCTGAGTTTCTGGTTTGAGCAGTGACAGACTGCCTGGAAGCCACCCTATCCCACTTACAACTCTAGGGGTTTGAGGCTCTGGCCCAGGTGCCTCAGCCACGACCAGAGAAGGGTCACATGACTCACTGCCTACCTAACGGTTGTGCCAGCAGGAGGGGGGGGGGGGGGGGACTGATACATGGACAGCCACCAAGTGAGGTCTACTCAGTCCTTCCTTTTCATGAAGTATGAGTTTGCTAACTTAATTTGCAGCAATTATTGAATAATACAATTCTGTTTGTATGGAGTTGAAATACTTTTGTTTTTCTTTGCAGTCCTGAGAAAGTTATCTGTTCAGAAAATAAATATCTGCCTGATGAAGAGAATGAGACTACTGACCTAAGACCATTTTTGAAAGGCAATTTCATTCCTCAAAGCTCAGCCAGGAGAATGGAATGGAAGAGAGGAATTGTGTGGTGAGCAGAGATCTGGGGGAGCAGGGCTGGGATGGCACAAGTTGCAACATGCACAAGATGACAGGCATTGATTTTGGAATTTGAACCATTGACACATCCCTCCTTGTGACACAGGTTCCCCAGGGTAGAGAAGGCAGGAGGCAAAAAAGGGAGTGGAAAGGATGTTGCAGAAGATTTACTTCATGCACAGGAAATGGTGGGGTTGCCTCTGGGCTTGGTGCTGCTGCGCCCTGTGGCAGGGAGTCTGGGGTTTGGAAACTCAGAAAAGGTGCACATAGTGGGACCCCGGAACCTGCTTTGGAGGACAGATTGTGTCCTCACGAGGTGAGAGAAATCCTGGTCAGAGAAATTTTCAGAGAAAATTTTCCCTGAATTTTTGCTCCTCTGCCATTTTCCTACCATTTACACATCCACACCAGACCAAAAAAAAAAAAAAAAAAAAAGAAAGAAAAAAGAAAAATCTGTTCTCCTTAGTGCAGTCACAGTAGGTAGGAATCTTCTGAAATTTATACTAAAAAAAAATTAGGCCAAATGATGGTTTACACACGTAAAAGTTATTTATTTAATCATAAAAGTTGTTTTATATGCAAGCATTTTCCATGCACAGATTTCTCATCCTGAGTTCACAATCTGACTGGCATATGTATAGCTCTTGCTCGCTTTTCCCTTCCATCCTCTCGTCTCCCACGTCCCGTATCCTAACGCCTTTGGGTGCTTGGGAGTTGTAAGGGTTCGTGGGTGTCTTAAGTGCAGTGGATCTGTGTGTTCACTGACCTCCCCACTCTTGCCTCCATTGCAAAGAGCGTGAAAATCTTGTCAGATAGGTTGTTAACCCAGGTTCCACCCAATCCCATTGTTTTCCCTAGTCTCTCAAGAGAGAAACGGATTTTCCTAAATGGGAGAATGGAAGTTTCCATTCCACAGCAATTTTCTCTGTGAATAACTGAGAGCCAAGCCCCTCTGTCAGATCTGGATGGGACTGTAGTCAGCTCTGCCCTTCTGGAAGGGTAGCCTCACTGCTGTCACCAGGAGAGCCAAACAATGGAGTCTGGTTTACACACAATAGAAGTTTATTTCTCGCTCATGTATCAGAAAAGGTTAGGTCAGCAGGGTGTCAGGCTGTCCCTCTTTCATGAGTTTGGCTGATGGAACCTTTGTCATCTTCAGTGCCTGGCTTCCAAGCTTGCCCTGGGGAACCTGAAAAGGGAAGAGGTCATGGAGGAGTTCTCCCTGGGCATGAAGTGTAGGTGGGCCAGGTCTCACATGTTCCACTGGGGAGGACATGGCTGTCCCTAACTGCAGAGGGAGGGTGCTGGGAGAAGTAGCCTCTGCTGCTCTGAGCACAATGGCAGGGAGAGCAGGTGTTCTGTGGACAGCTAGTCACCTCCACCCTACCATGGAGAGGTCAGTACTGTGTGGAGTCCAAAGACCTGGGAAGCCTTGGCTGAGAGTTGCAGAAACCAAAGAGAGTAGGGGAGAGGTGAGGAGAGGACTGCCTCGAAGGTCTCAGCTCAGGCAGGAGGGCGGAGTGTTGGGTGAGATCCATTGGGGCCTTCTTCTCTGCCCCAGTCAGCTCCTCTTCCCGGCCCTACACTTAGCACTTCCCTTTTGTTCACAGGTTCGAGGTGCCAGACAGCACAGACCACAACCCTGGGTGCCTGGGGAAGGCCAGTGTAGGTGGGGGTCACAGCCCGTGTTAAGAAGAGTGATGATGGCAAAAGTCCTGGGGCGGCACCCGGCCTCCCTGCAGCTGGGGTTCGGGCATGGCTGCCGGGAACGGTGCCATCTGTAAGGAGGCCATGGTAATAAAGCTTCGCTGAGCTTTACTTCCTCATTTGTGTGCCAACAGTTAAAATGCTGCCAATGGGTTTTCTCTCTCCAGAAGTGTAAGATGTTGCAAGCAGTAACAAACAATAATAGTTACTGTTTATTGAGCTGTCGTGAACGAGGAACTGTGTGAGATATTTTTATATATTAAAAAAAAATTTTAAGTTTAGTTATTTATTTTGAGAGAGAGAGAGAGTACTAGTGGAGGAAGGGCAGAGAGAGACAGGGAGTGAGAATCCTAAGCAGGCTCCATGCTGTCAGCAAAGAGCCCGATGGGGGGCTTGAACTCACACACTGTGAGAACACGACCTGAGCTGAAATCAAGAGCTGGAAGCTTAACTGACTGAGCCACCCAGGAGCCCTGGAACTGCGAGAGGTATTTATATTCATGTAAAAGTTTTCACAGCAAAATGACAGCATGATCTCCCCTTACGTGAAGCTTGGAGAGGGGTTGAGTAACTTGTTCAATGTCAGCTGCACGGCTGAAAGTGGTGGTGGTCTCGATTCCAAGTCTAGGCCGTCTAGTGCCAAAGCACCGGTCCAATCACCAGAACACACACCCCACTCAGACTCTGTCATGTCAGTCAAATTGCTCAGGGTTTCGGTCCCCTTCAGAGAGTGGTTATCCTGTTGGCGTGCCGCAGAGTCCTGATTCTGAAGAGCACTGGGCGGTGGGGGAGGGGGTCGGTGGTGGCTTGCTGGGCATCTCTCCTATCTGCTCAGTCCTTCTCCAGGGGACGCAAGGAGTCTAAGGGCACACCCTCCTCCCTCATCCTTCAGAAAATTAGGCTCACGTTTCAGTCAGGAGAGAACTTCATTTCTTAAGAGGCAGAGCTGCAGTCCCAGGTCAAAGCAGGTGACTGGAGTTGTGAGGAGCATGGACATTGAATGTCCTCTGGAGTTTTGTAGAAGTCTGACTCACCTCCTGCAGGCTCCTCTGTCCTAAATCTGAAAAGAACCCTGACACATGTAGACATGGGGAAATGGCAGTAGCCACAGTTCATCCCAGGGAGAATTCAAGTCCCTGCTGTCCTGGGAAAAGGATTATCCTTTAGCTCGGGTCACAAGTAAACCCACAACTGGTTTTAAACTGGCCTTGACTCATCAGAGACTGTCTCAGGCTTTGGAACTCAGCCAGTCAGAGGCAGACTCGTTGGACATCGCCCCATACCTGCCTTCAAGACCCTATAGAAGATCAGCAATTTGCTTTGCTCAGTGAGGCTGCGCCTGACCAGCCAAACTTTCCCTTAATTAATACATTCAGGTGTTTTGGTTTCAGATGTTGAGTGGCGTCTCTTCTATTGACACTGGCCATATTTCTTTTACATCTAAGTTTTAACAAATAAGTGCCCAGGATTAATACCCAGAATGGCAGATTTTTTTTTTTTTTTTTAACTTGAACATTCTGAGTTATGTTTTCCAGCCCTTCTTTGCTCAGTGCTTATGTTTAGACAGAAACGGGGGCTGTGGTGGAGGGACATTTGAATCTTTCCTGTTCATCTAGCTCCCTAAGACGTGCTCCCTGAGAATCAAGGCTCCTATAGCCTGCGTGGTTCCTTCTAAAAAGCAGATCTTTTTCCAGTTGTACTCATTAACCCAGGAATTTAGTGGGTAAGACCTGATTTTTGTCAATGTTCAAAACAAATCTCACACTACAAAATCCAGAGCCCAAACCAGCAGCACTGACAGGTGTGGATGTGGGTCTGACAGGACAGGGGACAGGGAGAGACAGGTGCTTCTGGAGCTGGAGGCCAAGGTCCTGCTGAAGATGTTTAATGCCTGTGTATTTTCTTGACTCTGAAGTTACCTCTGAGGTTCCTGCTCAACCAAGTAGGCAGAAGGACTCAAGAAGGTATGGTCTTACTCCCACAGAGATCAGCAGTCTAGCCATCAGTGACACCACACCCCAGAAACCGTAGGTCAACTTACTAGAGTCATGGAGCAAGTCAGAGTGAAGACGAGGCTCCAGGGTCTCCTAGGCACCACACCCTCCCTCCCCCACCCCCTCTTGGTTTTTGCCACTGTCACAGAAAGGAAATTTGGTTTCACTACAAGCAACCCCTGAACTTACCTTTCTTTTTTTAATTTTTTTTTTTTCAACGTTTATTTATTTTTGGGACAGAGAGAGACAGAGCATGAACGGGGGAGGGGCAGAGAGAGAGGGAGACACAGAATCGGAAACAGGGTCCAGGCTCTGAGCCATCAGCCCAGAGCCCGACGCGGGGCTTGAACTCACGGACCGTGAGATCGTGACCTGGCTGAAGTCGGACGCTTAACCGACTGCGCCACCCAGGCGCCCCTGAACTTACCTTTCAAGAGCTTTTCAGGTGGAAAGTAAATCAGTCAAGCTTTGAAAGAAGTTACATTCATAAACTTATATTTTTATTCTCTTTCTGTACATATTGGCAATGATAAAGCTTAAAGATGCGTGTCCTATGAAATATGCAAAAACAAGGAATTTACATAAATAATTTATACTTCAGAAAATTAAAGTTGAAAAATATTTTCCACATCATTAGAGTTCACAGTATTTAAAGTAAATCAAGCTTTCCCCTTTAGATTTCAAACTATATTGTCTGAGCAGAGATGATAAAATCTAGTCAGGAATAAAATGATCAAGTTTCTGTTTTCATTCAGTGCACGAGTAGACCTACTTCGGTATCAGGCTGTTCCCGCGCTGAGGCTGCAGCGTTTCTTCCCGATCCTTCGCCTCCTGAGTGGCTGTGACCCCGCAAAGGTCACATGGCGTGGAATGGTTACAGCATCACCAAAACCACCCACACTGGACACATTCAACCAAGTGGTAACGTCTGCTGTTCCGATGCCTCATTTCCACATAATACTTTTTATAGCCCTGAAAATGGAAACCTTGGCATCTAAACACAGCCAAACATGTTAACACTAATACAAGGCACTGTGCTGTGGGTTTGGTTTATTTCTAGGAAAGATCATGTTTGCATAGATTGCTAGCTATTTAGTGTGCAATAAAATAGAGGGCCGGACCTGGCACGTGTGGCCTGCGATGGATGAAGCCTTGTGATGCTCCTTTAGCCTAGGGGCAGCACCGTCCGTCTCTAGCCCCAGCCTTTTGGGCAGATCCCTGAGGCCCCTACAGGAGAGTTTTTTGCTCAAAAAGCTGCAGGTCAAAGCGGACCCAGACCTCCCCGGTGGGGACCTCGTGCAGCAGGAGTCGGCGGGTTGTGGGGCCTTTGCTTTCCTGTTCTGTGCGAATTTTTGCCACTGGAACTTCAGTGCGACCCAGGAAATCTGGAGAATAGACATGTGAGAGTCAAAGCTACTTCTTTATAAGGAGGAGTGTCTGAAAACATTCGTAAGACTTTCAAGTCCAGAACAGTTAATTTCCTTTGGTTAGTGGCTGTCTGATAACTACATGGATGCATGCCCAGGGAGAGGTCCGTGGGAGGGAAACTGCCTTCTTGGAATCCAAGTTCCTTCAGGCAGAGCATGTCTCACCCATTCAGTAGGTGCTGGGAGCAATGTCTCTGTTGTGTACGTAGGGAGTGACTGGGGTCCATGACTGACACATGCCGGAGACCACCCTTTCCCCCTGAGAAGACCCCTGACCC